CCGATAGCCCCTCCACTGGGTATAAGCCACCGGGGGCTGAGGAGCCACCACGAAGCTGTTGCTGGAGATGGGCATGTTGAGTGCAGGAGCCATGGGGACTGTGGGACTCGGTGCGGGGAAGGAGGTCTCGCCCATGCGGCTGGGCCTGGAAGGATCCCAGTGTGTCAGGGAAGGCTCCCGAGGCAGAGCAGTTCTAATGGGAAAGAGATGTTGAAGTTCGAGAAAATTAAAATAGGTTTGAAAGAACAACGCCGAGGTCCTTGGGGCAGTTAGCTGGCTGAGGGAAGGGAGCACTGGGCGGGCTAGGGGGCCTGAGGCCTTAGGCACTCAGTTTTCAGTGAGGAATCGGCCCCAGACGGTACGACAGGATTATCTAATTACATAGGAAACGCTGGCACGGAAAGGTAGGGAGCACATTTTAGAGTCGTGCTCACGGAGCTTTCCTGCTCAGAAAAGTATAAGGTCCTCCAGATATGACAGAGGGACACTGTTGGATAATGTAAGCTCAGTTCCATAAGTTGCGATGATTCACCCTGAAATTGGAGGCGTCAGTAGAAGGAGCTTGCAGTCAAGACCCCACTTCATAATGAAATGATACAAGTTAGCCAAGGTTTCAAATGATGATGTTTGTTACTAAAAGGAGCAAAAGTTTTCTTTAATTTCAGCCAGTGTCTCTTGCTTCTTAGTGAAATATACAGCAATGGTATGATTTAAACAGTTACATTCATTAAAGAAAATTATTTTATTTTCATTTCGTAAGTTACCAAGCTATTTTTCCAGCTAAAAGAAAAGAAAAAGGCTGAGGTAATGTTTTTAGCTGCTTCATCAGTAAGAAAATTCAGAAAACATAGTCAACATTCCCTTTTGTCAATGCACAAAGTGATTGCACAGTATTAGCAAACAGTTTACATGCACCAGGGGAAACAAAAGGGAGAAAAGAAAATGCAGATTGAGAACGATTTGTTAGAGTTCATTCACAAAAAGGCCTCTACATCAGGGTTAGTGGTTTCATGTCTAGAGTGAAGACGAGTGTCACACGCTGCTCTCCTGAACGTGAGGGTGTGGGTTTTATGTCATTCAGGCTACACCGGATGGTGTTTCTTTGGAAATGGCGGATGGTGCCAATAAGCAGGTCCAGCGGGAGAATGTTGTCAGGCTCTGCTCAGTGTTTGGGAGGCACCAGCACATCAGCTGTCAGGGGCACCGAGTGAGGGTGGGGTGAGAGTGCAGGCCTTGCTGCTGTGGTTGTGGCCATGAGCACGCTAAAGAGCAGGCTCACTCAGGCCCAGTGGGACAGGCTTGGGTCCCAGGCCGGGGGTGCTGGAGTAGCCTGGAGGGAGCGTACGCAGTGCTGGCCCACAGAGCTGACTCCTGGTTCTCACTGTCTGCTCCCTGACCCGGTGGGATGGTTGGAAACCCCCACGGGGCGGCCCCTCCTCCTGACTCACTTCCTGCCTTTCATAGGCCTGTCTAGTATGTGCTATGGTGTAGGCGTCATTCATGGAAGGTCAGTGGGTGCATAGTGTGTCTGCCCATTGGAACTGATAACATTTAGAGAGAAAGAGAACTCTGTGGGCTGTGTAAGTGCTCCTGTGAATGGGTGCTCTGATGTCACGGAACTAGAACTTCTCATGTCCGCCTTGGGTAAGTGGAGCGCTCACCTCTAAGGAAGCAGCTCTGGTGTCTGTCTGACCTTCCTAGCAGGTGTGGATGGATTACGGAGGCGGGTGCTGCCAGCAGGGTGGACGGAGCAAGGGTTCAGCCAAGACGGGTATTGACCCTTCCTTGGGGCCTCCTGTCCTTCATGGATTTGGACTGCTGCTGTCACCACGTCACCAAGCAGTGGCAGCACAGCTGGAGACCTGCATCCATGTGTGTCACAAACATGATGGGGAGGGCAGCAGGAGAGGGTGTGGATACAGACATGACGAAAGGCGTGCGAGGTGTAGGGCCTGTGCCCATGGCCCTGGCGCACAGTGGGGTGTGTATGTTTTATGCAGCGGGGAGTGGTGGGGCAGATGGAAGTGAGGTAGGTGTGTGAGGTCTGCTTCCCTCACCCTGCCCTGCTCGCTGTCCCCCAAAGCCCCAGACCTGGGCCCACTATACCCGACTTGCCCGTGGCAAGCTCACGTCCACACCTTGGTCTGCCCCTAGTTGGGCAGCCTGCTGCTCTGAGGTTTAGGGATGTGTTTGCACATTTCTGTCTCGGGCACATCCATGTTGGGGCTTCACATGGGAGCAAACTCCGAAAACGGTGCTTGTTCCTACGAGTGGGCTACCATTTTGGAAAATGTTTAGCCGTCTTCCATAGCAGGGGTGTTCACCTGTTCTGAGCACCACACTGCACTGTGGTCTCCCTTCTGCACTTGTCTCTAGGTTCCGGGCATCTCCTCCCCGACTTCCTTAGTAAGGGCTGACCTCTCCATGTTTCAGGTACTGCGACCCTTGCATTTCTGTAGCTTTCAGACATCCCGTATATTCTGTAGTTCACATTGCCCAGGCATGTGGGAAACTGTAAAAATACAGCTTCGTTTTTTGTTTTTGAACAGAGGCAACTGCACTTTTTCTTCTTTTAAGGCTGAGTTAGGGACACTTCTTGGCACTTGGAACAGATCATTTTTTTTCAGCCTTTGCTTGCTGATGGTCTCGCCTGACACGTGGTGAGAGAACAAAACTAACCAGGCACCTTGAGTTTACCCACAGTCAAGAGCTTCACCCTCACACCTTTCTTATCTGGAATCTTGGTCCTATTACTTTACTTGTGTGCTTAACTAAGAGCAAATCCTTTTCCTAGACAAGATTAATAATGACCATCATGATGTTGACTCAGTATCGTGGAAACTGAGACACAGTCAGCTGTACTTGTACTTGATTGCAGAAGTCAGGCAGCCCATCCAGCTGTGGAAACAGATGTCTTCAAGTCTAGTAGGCACCTTTATGTTAAGTTTCTGAGACCAAAGGCAAGAGAAATTGGAAGACAAGACCTATAGAGTTAAAGAAACTGAATTTAATCTAGAAAAGAGGTTGCTCTTCCTACCCTAGCCCTGAGGAGTGTCTTATACATGTGAAAATGAAGTAAGCAGCTGGCCATGGAAGAGGCCGCTCTGGGCGTCTCTGAGAGCACCCACCGGGCCTCTTAGGGCTCCCCCACACCCTGAGTGCAAGTGAGCACTGCGTCAGGAAGGAGCACCCTGCCCAGAGGGATAACACTGGTGCTGATTCCAGTTGCTTCGATGTCTTCAGGGGATAATAAAAATCCCAAACTAAAAAAATGCAAAAAAACAGAAATACTTTGTTTTTCGTTCATTCCCCCAGATATTCATCCACTTTAAAAAAAGTCCTTAATGTTTTGGGCTTGGTATCTGAACCCTTCCATCTGGCTCTCAGGAACGCCCTTTGGTTAGTAAGCGAGTTGGCCATAGAACTTACTACCCAAACTGGGACTCTTTTGAAAGTGAATGGGACCACTTTCATGACCAGGCTGGAATGTGAGGTGTGTGCCAGGACACGGGGCTGCCCCATTTGTGTGCCCTGGGGGGAGTCTTTGCACGGGTGAGCCCCAACCGATGTTCCTCGTGCTCATCCTGAGTTCAGTGCATGTGGGAAAGAGCCTGTCACCCTACCACATGTTTGCTCACACCCCAGTCTGTGGCGTTTCAAAGAAGTGAGTGTATTAGTTGTTAAATGTGGTTGTGGACTTCTTAGGAAGGTGCGTCAGAGTCCTTGCATTTCGATGGCTCTCCTCCCGCTCCTCCAGTGACCGTGGCAACAGCCATTGCATTTTTGTGGCTGCACTGACTTTTTCTGTATCGACATCATCTTCCTTGTCAGTTCTGTTTCAGCTTGTGTATTACATACCTGAGCTCTGTCTTTGGGAATCCTGGGTGCTAATAATTACAAAACTTAGAGTTCAGAAGGATGGATAAAGAGAATTTTTCCTGGGCCTGAAATTATCCAGGCACTAAGCAGACTTTTAAAAGCACAAATAAATCCAGTGCACACGGCTCCTCACATTTGTGGTAAAATGGAACAAGTGAACCACAGGCACAGACTTTCTCCTGGTGACCTTAGAAGGCAGTTTTCTTTTCCTGTGATTGTAGGGTAAGATGTGAGTGCAGGTCCCCGGCCTTGGGTGGGTGGGCAGAGGTGGGCATGGGATGGTGGCCTGTCCCCCCTTGTCCCCATGGCTCTGGCCCAGTATCTCTGGTAACTCAATTTCTCTGCCTCCGGTTTTCACATCTAGAGCGTGTTGGGAGAGAAATGACTCTCACGAGGTTGCTCCGGGATTAATTAAAACTTGTCAGTGCTCAGCGCCACTGGGGACCAGCCGTCTCACACACACACACACACACACACACACACACACACGTCCATTGTTCCCCACAGTCCTGCACATCCTTGTCAAGCTCAGCACCCGCACATCCACCAGGAGCGCGCATGAGAAAAGCAGGTCAGCCGACCTGGCCCTGGAGTGAGGTGAGTGGCGCACCTGTCGGGGAAACCTGAGGCTCTGGGCAGGTAGGAAAAGCAAGCTGGGCTGAGCTAGAGCATTCAGCCTGTCTGCAGGGATCCTGCGACGCAGCCTGGTCTTTAATCACACTGTTTGGAAACCAATTAAAAATGAGGTTTCTGGAGTCTCCCAGTATGTTCTGGTCTTGGTGGAATCCACTCAGAATTCACCAGGAGTGCAGGGAAATGGCTCCGCCCCCCACAGGTGCTGACAGGAAGTCTGGGTGTTGATTTGGTTTTCACAAGTGTGTGATTGGCAGCTAGATGAGTGATGGAGAGACACCTAGCCATGAAACCACTACTGCTTCTGTTGAATGATGCACGTTTCTGTGCTGTTTTTATGCATCTAACTACCTCATGGTAATTGCATGTATGTAACCTGCATTTGTAGGTACCATTTTTGTCATGCAGTTATTGGAATGTACAAAATAAGTCTCTATAATCTTTACAAAGAGTTGCAAACAGAATTATAAAACACATATCCCAGCATGGATGATTCTTAGAGCTGCAAGGAGCAGGCATCTTTATTTGGTTCACTTCAGGTCTGCAGCAACCACTCGATATTAAAAAAGAGGAACGGAAAGTAAGATGTACAAAAAGATGTAACACCCCTTTAAAAAGCAACATTATCAGAAATGTATTTCCTACGGATCCTCCCTCCCTCTCCCATGTACCCACTCCCCCAAAAAAGACCCCAACCTAAACCAAACTGTGAGAAGGAACGGGGAGTGAATGTATAACGGAAAAAAATAAAACTGAATTTAACTGGAACATGCTCTAATCTTTAGTTTATTTCTGGTTAAAAATATAGCAATCCAGTGCAGTGTAGTAAAGAAATCTGCTTGAAAGGTAGCAGAGAAACAGCTAAACATAAGCAAAGCAAGGCAGAGTCATAGACGGGCTGTACCCAGGACGACTGTGGGAACTCACTTTAAGGACCGTCCAGGCGTGAGCTCAGGGGGACCTGCATATGGACGTGCCCATGCCCCCATAGACACATCCATCCAAGCTGGCTGGGGCTGGCTCCATAGCTAGGACCACGAGGCACCCAAACATTCTGGAACCTTGTTCTTTTGTTTGGATGACAGAGCAACGCTGGTAGAGAAGGCAGAAACACCAGGAACCTGTTTTTGTCTGATTGAAACAAGTTACATTGTATATTTTGGGGGAGATGGATATGCAACGATTTCTCAGGGGTTTTCAAGCCACTGGGTTTCAACCACACTCCTGTCCTGGGACCAGATCAGTTCCGGAGAATGAATGAGGCATCTGGAAGGAATGTGCATATCTAGGGGGAAAGTCGCAGGCACAGGAAAAGATGTGAAACCCGTGGGCTTAGGGACAGTGAAAGAGGATGATGTCATGTAAGGGCCGTCATTGCCGCAGACGTCTGACAGGGACACAGGAGCCTGGTGACACCTCCTGCACAGTAAGTGCAGGAATGCCACCTGCTCAGAGCCCGAGGGTGTCCCACACTGCTCCCTGCCCTCCAGCACCAGCCCTGGGGCTTCTGCAGGCCCCTGGACATCTGCAGCACTGCTCCCCCGGGGTCTGGTAGGAGGGTGGCGAAATGAGGAGGGACAGCGGCAAAAATAAGGGCTTTGCTTTAAGACTGTGTGGGGAGCCGGCCTTGCAAGGAAAGCCGTGCGGCAGTGCCGAGAAGAGGGCAGGGCTGTGATCTGTTTGGTGAGGAAGAGAAGGCAGCTCTGCTTCCTTAAGTATGCGGCACAGATTTAAAATAGAAAGAGGCCTAGGCTGCTGCCAGCCAGAATGGAACACCCTTGTCCCCACGCCTCAAGCCCATCCTTGTCACCCACCATTCCAGAACAGAGAGGAAAAGCAGAGTTAACCGACTTCCGCATCACGCCTCACAGCAGCTGCTTCCCCTCTGGCCGGACACAGCTGGACACTCGGGGGGGCGGGGCTGGGGGCGGGGTGGTCTTCCTCAGGCTGCCTCCTTTTCCGTATCCCAGGAGGAGTGTGATGACAGTGATTTCATTTTTTTGCCGCTGATTTGCTGGGATCCCTTTTCTTTCCACATCAAGCTGGAGGGGTCGGCGTGCTGGCCGCCTTCTGCCATGCCACACAGCATAATGTTATACAAGCAGAGAATTTTGGCTAAAATCCAAAAAACATTACCCAGAAAAAAAGGCAAACTGTGAGTAATACCCAATCGTGTTGTTCTGTGAAAAGACTCGGAAGTAGCTGTGGGGCTGTCCGAGTTATGATCCTTCCCTTTTTGTTGTTTTGCTTTTAACGTCCCCCTTTTGTACACCAACTGTTGTTTTTGCTAACGTGACAATCGCATCAGATGAAAAAGTTAATAAACAAAATGGCGACTCCGATGTTTAGCAAGATCACCATGGCTACCAGGATGGGAGCCGAGCCCTGGAACAGAAGGAGAGAGAGAAGAGGTGAGCTTCTGACTGGTCTGGGGCATCCTCTTTCTGGCCGTGCCCCCTCGCCCCAGCCAAGCCAAACTAGGGTAGGAAGGCAACGGATCACTTAGGAGACGGTCGGAAACATCCAGTTCCTCGGCATGGAGCCCCTCAGAGGTCAGACTCCAGGAAGAGGTTGCCCACTTGATTCTAAGTCTGCAGTTCCTGCTCTTGGAACCCCTGTGGCTCTGCAAAGCCTGGCCCCTGCCCTCCCTCAGGTGCCCCAGGTCGCTCTTTAAGTGGACATCCCCACGCCCGAACTATTATTGCCTCCAGCTTTGTACAACTGGGACTTCAAACATCGTCCTTGAATTTCAGATGCAGCCCACCCAGAGTGGCCTCTAAATTTGGCAGTGAGAGAACCCTCTGACAGTCCTCTAAACACACCTTCCTAGGTAAAAACCTCCTTCCCGTAAGCTGCTCCAGGCCTGTGCCAACTGCCACCCGTGTGCAGCCTCAGCCTCCCTCTCAAGCAGGCTTTCCTGCACGCCTTTCCTGGGGTGTGAAGCACCCAACGCCCTTGGAGCCGAGGCCCCGGCCAGCCTGGGCACTCAGGCCACAGGCTGTCCATCCCTGGGCCTGCCGTCCTGTCCTTGAAGCCTCTCAGTGATGGGTATAGATAAGGGTGAGGGGCAGTGCCTGAGGCTTCTGCTGGAAGCCTCGCACCTGTACCCCCCGGAGCTTCTTTTTTTTTTTTTAAAGATTTTTTTTTTTTTTTGGGAAGTGGAACAGTGCTGGTGGATTGGGGGAAGGGGAACAGACAAGTTGCTGTTGTTTTTTTTGTTGTTCTTCAGTCTAGTTATGGAGGACGTTGCTTCACTAGCCCAAATTGGCACCATCATTGCGCTCTTCCCGGGTGAGGCAGATCAGTCGCCGGCTTCTGGACGGCCGCTCACGCTGGCTGCTGGCCGCTCACGCTGGCTGCTGGCTACACACGGTAGCCCATGGCAACCCACTACAGCAGGGGTTGCAGCCTACGCCATCGCCGGCGACTCATGGCAGCCCAGTTCCAAGTTGAGTTGTTGTTCAGCATCCTAGCTGTAGAGGGCAGTGTCACTGGCCCTCATATGTGGGATCTGAACCGGGGCCCTCTGGCGTCCCAAGCCAGCTCTTAACCAATGCGCCACTCGGCCAGCCCCCACGGAGCTTCATTTTAAAGCACCCCAAAACGCCAACATGGTTAAGGGGGCTAAATATAGAACACTTCCTGTACCTCTCACTCCTGCCCATCATTCAGTCTTTCCTGAAATAACCACACACACACAGGTGCACGTGGGTGCACATACGTGTGTACGCATGGGTGGGTACACACCACATATGCACATATACCACCTACCTACGTGTGCACATACACGTTTCTGCCGCCAGAATGTGGAAAATGCAGCTGTAAGTGCCAGCTGTTATTTAGGTCCCAACAGGAGCCCAAGGGGGCTGCTCTTAGGGGGATTTGGGCATGGGGAGGGCAGGAGCATTTTAGGAACCGGCCCACCAGCAAGAAAGACGCGCTCACAGTGTTTCAAGGGGCTGAGATGGCCTGGAGGGTCCAGCAGGCTGCCTTCCAACAGGAAGCTTCTCTTCCAAGGGGCACTGCACCCTGACATGCCCAGACAACACCCAGATGAGGGACGCAACTCCTCCTGGGGGTGGGCAGACACCGACCCTGCCCAGCAGAGTCACTAAGTCCCAGGGACGCAGTCTGGACACGTGAGGTGTAGGTGTCGGGCTCTGCACGCTCGTGAGAAGGCTCCCGGTGTGTGTTCCATCTTGAACAAGCAAGACTGCGGCATGTGGCGCCCACCAGCAGGTGAAGGAGCCCCTGTGGGCTGACGCCACTGGTCAGGATGGGACTTCGTGGGACCGCATAGGGGGTGTCACCCCTGTGGTATGAGTCTGAAGTGTGTTCCACTGGCCCTTCCCACTACCACTCAGCTGATGGAGCAGGGCATGCCTGCTTACAGGTGGAAGCCACCTGGTGAAAGGTCCCAGGAGGTCCCTTCCGGGTGCAAGAGCCCTCCCCAGCCCCACCCCCGCCCCAGACCGGCCCAGGGGCCTCTGTTCTTCCAGCCCGTCCACTGTGGGAGTAGTGCTTCTAGGCGAGTCTCAACACACCAGATACATATGGTCCTCACTCATGAGCAGCTTCAGCGCCCCCCATGGGGCCTGATCAACCTGGGTCACAGCTCCACCCTGAGCATCTGACCCTGTAGTCCTAGGGTGGGCTAGAGGCTGCATTCCAACCTCCCAGAGAATGTGGCGTCCCGGGCCCACGCGTGGAGAACCACGGCTCTGGTACGAAAGGGGGCCTTGTGGACGGCGCCACACACAACTCGGTCCAACTCAGGCATTAGAAAGCAGGCTTGTGGGAGCAGGACATACATGTTCTGCTGGATGGGGGGACCTAGTGCCTGGCCCATCAGTAAACAGTCTGATCTGGACAAAGGAAACCTGACCCAGGGTCCAGCCTGATGCCCCCCCACCCCCACCCCCACATGCTCCCTAGGTCTGGGCCTCTGTCTCACGGGATACGCCTTGAAGACAGTGATGGCGAGGGTTCCTTACCTGGAGACGCCCTCCAGCTCCGGGAGAATGGGGTCCCATGCTGCCCAGTTTCTTTTGGGGAGCTTCCAAACCACCCCAGTGCTTTCACTAGAAGGATCCAGCCTGGGAGTAACCCTCATGAGGATCTGTCTGAAGGAAGTTGGAGCCCCGCCCTGCACTGGCTTCCTGTGGGGGAGGGTCCCAGCCCTCTGGAAGCCAAGACCCTCAACCCCCCTGAGCTGGAGGACTCGGTCTCGGGGTGGGTGGGTCTGGGCTCTCGCCTCCCCCCAGGACCATCGGCGCCCGCTTACCGTGCTGGACTTGAGCTCGCCCCCGTTCTCCTCGTCGGATTCCAGTGGCACAGGCGAGGACCTCTGGGGCGGGGAGAAGGTCAGGTCCCAGCGTAGCAGCCGGGGCTCGGCCCTGTCGCCCAGCCGCAGGCTGTCCAGTCTCTGCACCGCGGGCTCTGTGCTCGCAGCTGGCCGGACATTCTCCTTGTTCTGGGACTTGGACCTCAGTCTCTGCGCCCCGAAGCCCCGGTCCTCGCCCAGGCCCCGGCAGGCGCCCCCCCTGCTGTAGCGTCTCTTCTGGGGGTGCGGCTCCTGCACATGGGAGTCCACCCTCAGCAGGGGCTTCATCTCCATCTCATAGTTGCTCAGCTTCTCCTCATCCAGCTCCAGCAGCTTGGCACCCCCCGAGCTGGGGTTGCCGGCCCGAGGGTGGGAAGTCCAGGAGAACGCGGGGGGCGACTCCGTCCGCCGCTCCCGGGGCTTGGGGTTGCCGGGCTGCTTGTGGCCTGAGCCCCGGGTGCGGAAGTCCTCCGCGGGCTGGCCGCTGCGGAGGGCGCCGCTGCGGACGCCCCTGGAGCCCCCGGCCTTCTCCTCGCCCCAGCTGTTGCGGCCGTAGTCCCCTCCCCGGCCTTCCAGGAGCATCTGGATGTCCCCGCTTCGCTCCTCGTCGACCGAGACCTGTCGGGAGAAGTGGGCGACTTTGTTCCTGGAAGCAGGGGCCGGTGGCGGGCTGGCCGAGGGGCTGGCAGGGAAGCTCTGCAGGGGGCTGTCGTCAGGGGTCAGGTCCGAGGGGGTGGTGCCTTTGCGGTACAGCTCGGGGCTCTCCTGCTGCAGCGGCGTCCCGATGGAGATCACTTCGATGTCGTCGCTGGAAACCTGGTGCTTCGGCCGCTGGTACTCCAGCCCTGTATTGAGCAGGGAGCACACAGGTTGGGTTACTGAGATGTTCTGCACCAAGGCCTGGTCTCACCTGAGGATGGCAGGAGACTGGCTGGGGCCCCGTGGTTCCCAGAGTCCTTCCATGGACCCCTATGCCCCCTGCCCCACAGGTGCTTTGAGGACGACCAGGTCACAACAGGCTGTCAAGGACAGCAGCTCTGGCCTCGGTCCCCAGCTGCAGGGCAGACCCAGAGCTCAGAGCAATGCAAAAACTTGGGCCCAGCCTGCTCTGTGGGGTCCCAGGCCCCCGCCCTCCACAGGGCCCTTCTGAGGTTGAAAGGAAGCATTTCATGCTAGGTGACCTTCTATAGGTTCTCATGGCCTGAGGAGGGAGGCCACACATCATGGTCACCAGCCCTGTCCACCCAGGACACCTTCACCTCAAGGTGGCCTAGGCCTTCTGGGTGTCCGGCCTGTCCTAAGAGAACAGGGGGGGTCTCCCCTCCCTGCTTCCATTCTGTAGTCTCTGAGCAGAAGGCCGTGGGGGGCATGGCACCCTGTTTGTGGCTAGACATTTCTCAGTCCAGCAGGGGCCTTGTCCCCCGTTTATGAGGAGACGTCCACGTGCTGCTGGTAGCAGGCACGGTAGCCTGAGGTGCCTACTCTTGCCTCGGGGGTTAAGACACAGCAGGGAGCAGGACGAGGCTCAAACACCCATCAACAGTCATCATGGCTGTTCCACAGAAGGGCGAAGGCCCCCAGAGGAAGCCCCACATGGTCCTCGGCAAGGGAATCTGAGACCCTTGAGTGCTGGGGAGACACATGGAGCACAGGGCAAGTGGTCAGCCCCCCTGCATTTGCACCCCATCTGTCACACGGGGGTGTGGCCCAGGTGACTCCAGGTCTCATTCAACTACTATGCCTCTGTGGCCCTGGAACAGGGACATAGGCTGGGCTGCAGCCCCCCAAATCCCCAAGAACAGGTAAACAGGCCAGTGGGGGTTCTGAGGACCTACCCTGAGAACTGCCCTCCCTGTGGGGAGCCCTGGTCCCATCATAGGGCCCCCCTGATCACTCCCCTGACCTGCCCTGGCTGTGATCCAGACTCCCTGGGGACCAGGCTCCTGTGCCTCACACCCTAAGGCCCCAGACAGGCCCGGACACAGCCCTGTGAGGTTCCGTGGCCTTCCGAGGAGACCATCTGTCCACTGACAGCCCTGGGGGTCAGCCCTGGCTGGCCTGTGGGCCCCACACCCTAGAGGGAGGCTGGTGTCCTCCTCCTCCTCGGCTCCAGCATCCTGATTGTCAGTACCCCCAGCTGGGAGATCGTTCTCTGCTAAAATTAGTTCCAGAGCACGTGACATTCCTGGAAGCATCCTTACGAAAATGCAGAGCAGAACATGGAGCATGTGTGGCAGAATTCCAACGCCTTCGTCCCCTGTCTGGAGTTCTCCTGCCTCCCAGAAGCCAGCCTGGCCTCCCTCGGCCGCCCCAAAGGCCAGGACCTGTACCAGTGAGGCCAGGAGCTGCAGGGCTCCAGGCGGGGAGCTCTGCGTGTGGTCTCAGGACAGACTGCACCATGGCAGAGTCCATCCTGAAACCTCGAGTGGCTTCCACGCCCCACTCCAAGTAGGGAGCACAGCCCTGAGGGAAGCGCTCTAACCTGTTCCCCAGGGCTTCCAGCTGCAGAAGTGTCTTCTGAGCAAGGCCAGAGGGAAGTGGGACAGGAGATGGGGGGGCAGAGAGGGGGAGCAGAGAGGGGGGGCTGGGCTGGCCTGCAAGGACCTCAGCCTGCAGGCTCATCATCTATACCCTCCTCCTCTAGCCTTTCCTGCCTCCCTCAGGCCCATTCCTGGAGGGAAGGAGGGTCACAGATCTGGCCTACCTGAAGTAGCTTCTAGCTCCTCCCAGTTCCCACCAAAGGACGCGGCGGGACCTCCCCTCACTGTCCCAGAGTCACACTGTCCAGCACACACAGCTGCCACAAGGCACATGTGGCCATCATCTACATTTAAATGCAGATTAGCTATGATCAAATGAAACTAAAGACAGGTCCTCAGCTGCATTAGCTGCAGTTCCCGCATGGCTCGTAGCTGCCTCGTTGGATAGAGCCGTTTCAGAACAGTAACATCGTCACAGAAAGTTCTAGCATAACACTGGGGGCAGGGCAGAGAGAGACAACCACTTGCACAAGCAGAGCACACAGACATCCACCTTCATGGAAAGCATGAGAGTGAAGCGTGGACACACATGCACGCAGGGACACAGCCATGGAGGCAGGGAGAGAGGCCGAAACCATGCGTGCCCTGATACGTGTCTGAGGGAGGCATGTGCCAAGGACCCACACTTGGACGCCCACTATCATGAAAGCTAACACGAAGCGAGATGGCTGCGGGCAGAACCCGCTGGAATGTGGCCGTGGGGAATACCCAGCTGCCCCACCCCACATCGCGCCCGGACTCACCGTTTTCCCTGTGCTGGAAGGAAGGTGAGAACTCTTTGGCAGTGATCCTGGCAATCCGCGCTTCCTCCTGGGCCTTCTGAGCCGCGGTGAGGGCTGCCTCGGCCTTGGCCCTGGAGTGGGAGGTCCTGGGCAGGAGAGAGAGGAAGGGCAGTGAAGGCACAGGAAGCAGAGAGGGACGTGTGGCCGCCAATCCCCACAGTGGGTTGGGCCAGGACAGGATGCCAGGAGCCCTGGGGTTTGTGCCCCTCAGACCTTCGATCTCTCATCTCCATTCAGCGAACGAACATCACTGGGCACCAGCCAGGTCAGAGTGCACGCCAGGCACAGGGAGCAGGGTCTGGGTCGAGGACGGAAGCTCCGCCTGTCAAGGGGAGCCTTTGTCCTGGGCAGAGCTCCAGGTCCTGTGGTAAGGAGTGTCCCTCCTTCCCTGGGTCGTGCCCACAGACCGGAGGCCAAGACCCATGGCTGACTTGTCTCTGAGCCTCCAGGGATGAGCAGGTGTTTAATCAATGTTGACCTGACCGGATGTGAACAGTTTGGGGGGCAGGTGTACCCCCCTGCACCCCTGCACCCTTGGAGTGAGCGACTGGCTGGTCGGGCTCTTGAGCAGGAAGGACCAGTCAGCTTTCAGGAGAAGGTCAAGGGCATAAGGAACAAAACACCTCCCCAGCACCACGCACGGCTCCAGACCCAGGGAGGGCATGGGCCAGCCATGCTGGAGGCCACATCAGAACCAGACCTGCCGCAGGAGGTAGCGCCGACCCGTCGCTGCCCAAGGAGCCTCCAGACACCTCCAGGTGCCTACCAGCCTCTGCCCAGGCCGCCCCATCAGCTATGAACTGGGTCTCACCCTTCCCGGTAAACAGCGCTGCCACCCCGAACTCTGCCCCGAGCTGGGGAAGGCTGTTCCTGGGAGGCGGGAGCTGGGATTGGCTCTGCCCTGCCCCACGCCAGGAGGTTCTTTCGCTTAGACCCTCCACACGCGTACAAGGCCAGGTTGGGCATCATCTCAGCCATCCTCTGGAACCTTCTGGAAGCTGCTATCATTATGTCCCTATGTGTGGAAGAGACAGACTCAGAGTTTAAGATGCTTCTCCAAGTCAGCATGGAATGTCTCCAGATGCTAAGAGAAAGCAAGTCTGTTTCCTACAGGCTCCAACCAGGGATGAGGGCCAACTCCCACCAGCATCTTAATGTGGGTGATGGTGTCACTGCAGAAAATAGGTGTGGCCTCCACGTAGGAGCCACAAGGCCCAGGGGGAGTCCACGTCTTCGTCTCATTTTCTCCCTCAGTCACACAGTCGATGACACCACCGACCCTGCATGGGGAGAGGCACTTGAAGTCCCCAAGCTCAGGCCGGACATGGAGGACACGATCAGAATGGGTTTGGTCTCATGTCCATAAACACTCTATACCCGTGCTCCAAGTGCCCAGACCTGGTGATGCCCCACAGGAGGGTGGACGCAGTGGCAGGGGCCACCAAATGAGCTTCATGCGGCCCTGAGATGTCCTAGTCGTCCAATGGTCCCAGGACTCTGATTCAGGACCCCGGGGTGTGGGCGTCCCCACTTGCTGCCCCATGCCTCTCCCCAGCTGAGGCACACGTGAGGCCCTCCTCTTGTAAAACTAGGCTGGCCTGGGTGCCCAGCAGGGCAAGGCTGCAAGACTCTGTCTCACATGCCTGGTATCCTGGCCTCAGGGGTATCCAACACCAGGGAAACCAAGGCACAATGACTGATCCCCCAAGACAAGGGGCAGCCTGCCCCTTGGAGGTCTTTCCTCAAAGCTCCTCTGAGCAGCCTGACCTCCCCACCCCCTCTAACACCCACGGTCCTCGCAGCCCACTGGTTTAACCTGGAGACCCGTCGCTCCTCGTCTTTTTTCAAAATCTGCTACACTAAGAACAACTTGACTAGAGGAAAATAAATGTATCTCTCTCTCACACACAGAGTAAATCATAGCATGAACATGTGTCCAGGAAATGAAGCGAGCTGCTGAGGATGCCTGCTCAGCAGTCTCCAGGGTTCCCGTTCATACTCATCTCCAGGTGCTCCTCCATCCTGCCACCCCATGTACCGCCTGGGAGCAGGCCCCAAAGATTGAAGAAAAACCTCTGTGCAAAATGTGGTGTTGAGAAAATTCTCCCCTGCACAGAGTTTTCTCTCCTAGAAATTGGGGAAAGATAGCTGTCACTCAAAATAGCTGCAATGCCGGGTCCCTTGGGAGCATAGGCTGAGAAGCACTGCCTTCTAGAAGATTCCTCAGGAATGCTGTGATGGTAATTACAACAGAAGAAGAGCAGGAACATCATGGGGACAAAGCCATGAATAAAGCACTAATTATTAATACTTAATTTGTACCAGTGATGAATCAATTGGTAAGTCATTACTGCATCTTTCTGCCCCTCCCCACCCCACAAGCTCCTGAGAGAGCTCTCCCTCTTGAAGTCAGTGTGTTCCAGCCTGGCTGTCCCTTAAGGCCACAGCTGTGAGTTTATGGAAAATCTGGACTTTCCCATTCTTGGTCCTAAGTTAGAGGCTGGTAGAGGCACACATATATCTCGAGAGCCATCAGTGTCATCACATGAAAAACAAGGGTGGAAGTCAGACCTCGTGAGGGCCAGTGTGAAGCCACAGTTGTCAAAGGCCACATCTCGGGGTGGGAGCATCAGTGACAGGCAGACAGGACAGGATGGCAGGGTAAACAGAGCAGAGGCGTCCCCGCCACTTCTGTCTGTCCTTTGCTGAGACCTGGTGAGCAGTGACAGCAGCACACGGGCCCTGAGTGACCTCCTTGGGGGGCTCTGAACTGGCGGCCTTTGGGTGGAGTGTGTGTGTCCCCTGAAATTGTACTCAATGCTGTATATGCTTTTCTCCCCGCGCCACCCCAAGCAGAGGGTCCATGGCTTTCAGCAGGTACCATGAGGGTCTGTGATGCCCCAAAGCTAAGACTTGTGGTCTGAACACAGCTGGTCCTGCTGGAGGAAGGCGGGTCAGTGCATCGTTCAATCACACCCGCTCGCCAGGGAGCCTGGTGCCCATGGAGAGGAGGAACGCATGAACATTGTCGTCTCAGCTCACCCCCAGTGGCTCTGAGCTCACCTCTGCCGAATTGTCGTGGCTTCTCTCCAGACCGTGCCATGGGTTGGTGTTTTGTGTTGTTTTGGGTAATAACTTTTATTGAGCTATAACTCACATACCATACAATCTCCCATTTAAATTGTACAATTCAGTGGTGTTTAGTGAATGCACAGCTGTGCAGCCATCATCACAATTTTAGGATATTTTCACCACCCCCAGAAGAACCCCGTTCCCTTTATCAGTCACTCCTCATTTCCTCCAACACCTCCCCCACCAGCCCTAGGCAACCACCCGGCTACCCTGTCTATAATAGATAAATAATAGTAAATTTGCCTATTCTGGACATACCATGCCCAACTAGTTTTTTTTTTTTTAAGGTTTTCTTTTCCTATTTTTTTAATTGAGATGTCATTCACTTAACATGAACCATTTTAAAAATGGTCAGTGGCATCTAGCACATTCACGATGTTGTGCAGCTACCACCTACCTCTATCTCGCTCTAGAACATTTTGGTCATCCCAAAAGAAGACCCGTACTATTAGCAGTCACTCCCTTTCCCCACATATACCCTCAGCCTCAGGGGGTTCTGAGCGACCATTCAGCGTTGACAAAAGCACCTCCCATTGTCATGGGGTCCAACCACATGTGGCTGCTACGTGGAATGCTACAGCCTTCCTCTAGCTGGCCGAGTGGCGGGGCCACAGCGTGTGCTGCCCCTAATCCCAGGGACCTGGGGTAATCAGCTGGTAAATGAGTGTCACAGCTGACAGACGAGTGTCCCCAAGGCCCTGTGTCTGACAGGGATCCCAGCAGGTGATGCCCCCCCTGAACCTCCTGTGTGCCTTTGTACAGCAAGTCTGGGATGGGCTTGGCCCTCGGGCTCACAGCGTGCTCACGTCCAGATGACAGAATGCTGGAAAATAAATATGTTTTAGGGGCTGTGACCCGAGTGATGGAGATAGTGAGCGGCCAGGCAGTCAGGCAAGAGGGTGCAGGAGCCTCCCAAACCTGGAGAGAGGCCCCGTGAATGAGGATGCTTCAAAAATGGGAGGTTTGGAAAGGCCGAGGATGGGGGACCAGGAGGGCCAGGCTCATTCGTGTCTATCTCACACTTGCCATTAAAGCATTTATCTTGTACTCCGTCACCTTCTTGTAAGGGTAGGCAGACAAATGAACCAATAATGGAATAATTTCATGTCATGAAGAAATGAGGGGAATGGACAGAGGAAGAAAGCTGGGGGTGAGAGTCATAGAGAGCATGTGTGCCTGAGGGCCCCGGGCCACCGAGAGGGCTTGAGCTCCCTGGAGGCCAAGGCGAGCAGGGAACAGCGTTGACGCAAATCAGGGCACACATCAGCCGAAACCAAAGCTGTGGCTCAAGAGAGGGACAGCCAGGCTCTCACTCGGCTCACAGGTTTCCTTGGGGGCTTGTAAAGACCCTCAATACAGGCTGCCGGGGACACACACAATGTGCTCAGTGAAAACAACTGAAACAGACCGTTTGACCCTGAAGACCAACATTGTGGGTCTGGAATGGGGTCAGCACAGTCCCATGGAGATTCTTTTTTTAGTGTTTTTTTTTTATTAGTTTCAGGTGTACAGAATAATATAATGATTAGACATTTACACCCCTCACAAAATGATAACCCCACCAAATCTACTACCCATTTGACACCATACATAGCTATTACAATACCAGTGACTATATTCCCTATGCTGTACTTTACATTCCATATTATTTTATATTCATTTCAGGTGTACAGCGAATTGGTTAGGCATTTATATAATCTATGAAGTGAAAAGCCCAATAAGTCCAGTACCCATCTGACACCCTACATAGTCTTTACAACATTATTGATTATATTCCCTATATTGTATTTTACATCCCTGTAAGTATTTTGTAACTACCAATTTGAACTTCCTAATCCTGTCACCTTTCTCACCCACCCCCCAACCCCCTCCTCTCTAGCAACCATCAAAATGTTCCCTGTATCTATGAGTCTATTTCTGTTTAGTCTGCTCATGTTTATTCTGTTCTTTAGAT